TCAACAATATATGTATGTACGTAAACGCTTAAATATAGCGTCAGTATTGTTACGTAAAACTGAAAATTCGAAAAAGCTCCCACACGCCTATAAATATAACCAAAGCGACGCGCCAAAATAGAGTATCTATTATTATTTGCTATAGTTAGTGTGCTATAAGCTTCGGAAGCTATAACTATGATTGTTAAAACGCTTGTCAATCGGAAAACCTCGGATATTTGGCCAGGAGCATTTACAAATTTCGAACATTACAAATCATTTAACATTAGTAGATTCTCATCGGACATTAGTATTTTTACGAAAACATTATATAACTTCATCATGGAAAATCCGGCGTGCTTGGCTGGTAAATAACGAAGGACAAAGCTAGCTAGCTTCCTGTTAAGTGAATTATACCTAGGTCAACTTGTAATCAACTCGCTTATAGTTAACCCTCAATAAGATATCGAAGAAGTTACAGACTAGAAAGAATACTTTATACGTTTGTGAAACTTTTGTTTATAAATCATTGTGTGTAATATCTATTTGTAATAACTGCTATCTTAATTTGTATTGTTGTGTATATATTAAAACGTATTTGTGTTAAAAAAGAAAACTGTGTGTATCAATCTTATTGCTAAATATCTTAAACTGGCTATATATCGACTTTTACTAAATTTAAAGTATCATTTAACTCAATCTCAGACCATTCGAAATTCTAATACGTAACAAAATATAAAGTATTCTGAAAAGATATACATATCTTCCGTATAACTACTAGTGCATGTTTTCTATGTAGTTATTTATATACTATAAGTAACTGAAATTTACCTTTCCTTTTTCACGTGCTCTTCTCCATGAGCATCTACAAATTCATAAAAAGGTATATTTATACAAGAACATACTGAAAATTTTCATAACTTGATGCTTTTATATAGTTGATAGAACCTCTAAACTGTTTTTAATCACGTTAATCAAACATTATTTTTTTATATTTAATATCAATAAGTCGTTTCTCACAAACTTGGCGAAATCTGCAACATTTATTTAGCCTGTAAATTTGTATTAATCCTTGTAGGAACCTATATTAAGATTGTTAAATTCGAACGTATTAGAAGTGTTACTGTAGTGTTTTATTACAGTTTATAGTTTAAGGGTATTTATGTTTTGTTTCGTTAAAGTTGACGTTATACACATCATTACTAGTATTTCCTTTTCAAAATCAAGTTTTTGTTAAACTGACACATCATATGTTTAAAATACAAAAAGGTTGTGGTACTGAGTGATATACTGATAGTGTTTTAATAAAAATAGTGTCGGTAAAGTGTAAATAGTGCATTATTCATGCTTAAACCTATTTTAAGCTCGTTTGAAATGAAGTGTTAAAATGACTGACAACTTTACTGTGATTTTTTTCTCTCTTTCTGTCTTTTTGCTTAAAATATTCATATCCTTAATACTTAGCTTACAAGTATCTCTTCCATTAACTTATGAAGAAATATTTATATAGAAATGTAATGCAAATGATCATACAACCAACTGAAGTAGGTTACGAAATATATTTAAGTCAGAATTTCTGCAGCAAAACTTTAGTTTGAATACTGTTTCTTTTTCCTAATTACGATCGTTATACAATGTATTTATCTCAGTCACTTTGAACAATTAACTACGTAATTAATTTACTTCAAGGTACCATCTGAAATCTTAGATAAAACTTTACCTCTGGTTTTACTTTTTTATTAATACAACAAATCAATCAAAAGGACACAAGCAATTTATTCGATCGATAAAAGGAATGGGAATATGTTATAGCAAGGTATTTAAGTAGCAATTAACCCGAGAATTCATTTTAAAGAGGCTACAATCATTAGCAAGAAAAGCTTACTTAGCATGAAATTAAGAACACATAAAATTTCTGAAGATTGGTTAAGAAGTTTTCTTAATAGTGACTAAAATTATTAACTTAAATTACTTAATCTTTTATGAAAGGCTTGGCATGGCCTGGTGATTAGGGCGCTCAACTTCCAATCTGTGGGTCGTGGGTTTGAATTCCCTTCATCGAATATGCCATTTAGGGATGCTGTCAGTGTTAAATGTTTGGCTGATACAAAATACCCGAGCGGCCGAACCCAATTCTAGATGAGACTAAGGTCGAATGATGATGAAGATTTAGTTATAGTTGGATTAAACATGGGTTCAATATTTAACAAGTCAACTAATTAGATAGTTTATATGGCTAAGACATGAACAATCTCCATTATATATATGAACTGGTATTACGACAGCTAAGTAAACAACATGCTAAATGTTTTGCAGTTGAAGTTGATATTGCTCGCAGATACAGCCTTAGCCTCATCCATCCGAGACTATTATGAAAATAATGTATCAATACATTATATACAATGACAGTATACTGACACTGTAGTACATATAGCTCTATAAAATCAAAACTAATGATAATAAAATTGCCTTTACGATTACAAATTGTTATTCATAAAAATTAATCTCATGTATAGTTTTGTGAACTTTCATAAGTAACTTATACTAATTATCAGTTAGTACATTAAACCACAAAAGTTTTATTATTTTTCATAAACATGATTTCTTTCTGTTTGCTCAAAGTACGCTACCCATATAAACACCAGTATTATTGCTGTCTAGTTACTCAAAGCAAAGTTAGAAATTAGGCACTTTAAGAAAAACGTTGGCTATTACTTATGTTTACAAATATTGCAATGCAGAAATGGCGCTGCATTGACGATATATCTCATAGAACTAAAGCGTGAATTTTTCTGTAATAAATTCTACAAACGTTTATATAGGTTTACTACTTCACTCCGTGACATCTCGAAAGGCTAAGCTTATTCTGCAAGCCTGTCAAAACCCTACTGTAGATAACTATCTGGCAGTAGACAGAAAGCACCTTATGTAAAAATAAACGTGCGAATCGTTCTGTTATGTAATTTGCTGCCGTCTATAAAACTAGATCTCAGATCTTAAAAAAACAGAAATTTATATTTCTGTTATTATTATAACTTATTCATTTTTTCCCGTGCAAACACATTTAGAAGTGATTATTTGTTCAATACAATCAATAGGCACCAATTGCATTTTACTTCAAACTAAGAGGAAACCGCCTCCTTGTGGTTCAGCGTTAAGCTTGAAGGCTTTAGTCCCTGTGATGGGCACACCACAAACAACCATTTGTGCAGCGTCATGACTGGCAAAACAATAAAAACTGAATCTATCAGTAACATTTCATAGACATAATTTTATCCAATACTTAGACATTTGCACAATGAAATCTGAAGATGAGAAGTGTCCAGATGCACTTTTCGACCAACGTTTATGCAATTTCAAATTCTTCTTATAATATGCCCTTATTTAGAATGTTACAGTGGAACAGGCAAACGTTTTAGAAATGAAAACAAGGTTTATCATTGCTCAGATTGTTGTACATTTGTAAAAAACAATTGTGCAAGTAAGTATATGTATAACTGAAGACCAACACATTTACAAATATCGTGCTATATCCACAATGCTTAATTATTATGAAACTAAACCTTGTAGTAATTAATAATGCATGTTATGATCTATAATTGAAAGTAAGTTTACATATAATGTACATCATAAGTATATTATTTCTAAAAAAACAGAACCGGTTAGATAACACTGAACAATAACAAATTTGCTACTGAAGAAACATCTTGTGATTCGGGGTAATTTGATGGTGTTGATTTCAAAAATGTAGCTAGAAGTTGTCCACCACCTCTAGATTTTGAGTTATTGTAATATCTCAATATTTTATCAGTACTATGTGAAATGCCATGCAATCAACTCAGTAGAATAGATTTATGCTGTGAAATTAAGTTTACTTGGACAGTTTACTGGGTAAAAGGCATCCATTTTAAATAAATCCAAACATTGAATGTAAACTTCCAAATATATTGTTCATATATGCTATTTGTTCTTGATATAACTGTAGCGAATTGCACCACTTTTGCTTCATTCCTACGCTATCCTGTTCCGCCCGGGAACCACGAAACCCTCACGTGTCGAGTTTTCTAAAATATTCGAGAAGTCCCTCGACTGGGTATAAAATGGGCGGAATCAGGCGCCTCTCTCTCAATGGCCTCTCACTCACTCAGTTGGTAACTTCCCTTCGTTCCGATCTTCTTCCTCGTATCATACCAGAAATATAATCAAGTTCTGCAAGACTTTGTTTTTTTAACATCTTTTAAACTCTAGTTCTGTAAACATAAATTATTTTATATTTTTCAGAAAATCATTTGAAATGCTGGCTACTTCCAGTTCAAATAAAGTCTGAAAGTGCAAAAATCACACAAACAGTTTCTGCAACGTTTGTGGAAAGCATATTACAATGTCACAGATGATAAACATCACACACAAGGTAAAGTGAGCTTACTACCACTATTTTGTATGTAAATTTTGTGGCCAAGAAAAACATTGGGCTCTACGTGTGTGTTGTACAGTTTGCTCATCTGGCTTGACACCGTGGCTGAATAAGTAGAAAGCAAGTATGCCATTTACATTTCCCAAGATATGGCATGAGCCCAAAGATAATGTAACTGGCTGTTATTTTTACATGACTAATGTTTCTGGATATTCAAACAAAACTAAACAATACATAAAATATCCAGATATTGTATCTGCAATTAAACCAATACTTCATTTTGATGGTCTTCCAGTGCCACATCCACCAGTAAATTGGAAAACAGTAGAGTTATCTTGTGAAGAAGACAGTGAATCATCTTCATCCTCTTCTTCTAATAATTCTATTCTTGTGGCACCTCAACATAAACTTCCTCATCTAATCACACAAAAAAGATCTAAATCATCTGATTCGTGACTTATCTCTATCAAAGTAGCATGGGGAAACTTCTTGGTTCTCATTAACATCAATGGAATTTATTACTTTCAGGAACAAGCGTTTCAATTTCTCGAAGTCACCTTCATAGTATTGCTTCTTACTACACCAAGAAATATACTTTGTATCCCTGAACAAATGTTGATGCAATAATGGAAGAATTAGGTACTGAACATCATCCTAAAGAATGGAGATTTTGTACCGACTCATCTAAAGTCTGAAAACCGTACTTTTGCACAATGGGAAAACTTAGCCATCAATTCCTGTCGCTCATCCAAAGCATGCAGATTATACTTGAGGCTATCAAACATTTAAATTATCACATGTTATTGCACTCTTGCTAGGCCTGCAGAGTGGGTATACCAAACATTGTTGCTATTTGTATCTCTGGGATAGCCTAGATGATAAATGTCACTTGAAATAGAAATAATGGCCAGTGAGAGAGAATTACATACAAGAGAAACAGAATGTCGATTATCATCTTTAGTGAATTCTCAAAATGTGTTTCATGTTAAACTGGGAATCATGAAGAATTTTGTAAAAGCATTTTGATGATGGTAGCAAAAAATGAAAGAAGGTGTCTTTGTTGGGTCACAGATTTGGGAAGTTTTGAAAGATGATGATTTTGAAATGGTACTCAATCAGATAGAATTTTCTGCATGGAAATCATTCAAACTGGCTGTCCAAAATTTCTTAGGAAATCATAAAGATGAAAACTATACTGTTATGATTGATGCTATGCTCGATAACTACAGGAAAATGGGGTCTAGGATGTCACTAAAGATGCATTTCTTACACTCCCATTTAGACTTCTTTCCAAATGATCTAGGTGCAGTGAGAGATTAGCATGGTGAGTACTTCCACCAAGATATTTCTATAATGGAACAGCGATACCAAGAACGGTGGATTTTCGTGATGATGGGAGATTACTGTTGGTTCTTACAACATGAAACTGAGAACATACCCAATGGGCGCAACAAGTGAAGCAGATATTTTGTAACAAAAAGTAAAAAATACCATTATGAAATTTTTAAACATAGCTTAATGTATTTTTAGTATATAATATTATTATACTCATTGCTTTTTTGTACTGGTGTTTTGAATAAATTCATCATAACTCGAAAAGTAGAGGTGATCAGTAATTTTCAACATGTTTTTAGAATCAGCATCGTTAAATTACTCAGAAACAGTTGCATTTTTTCTAGCAACAGAGAAAATAGAAATTATGTTGCCCACTGTAATCATTCTACAAGATCATCAGTTATAATTTATATTTAATTGACATTTAAAACGAAACGTTCATTACAATAAAAATGATCTGAAGTGGAAATCGTTTTTTATTTGCATTTAATATATTTTGATCAGTTTGCTTGCTGACTTAGGTTTTCACATGAAAAAATTATTGATTTAAAAATTACTGAATAAGTTTTCTATTATAGACCCAAAAATAAATTCATTTCAAATCTTAAATAATTTAATAATTAAACCTTAATCACTAACTGAATCTTTTCTCCCAATAATACAAGTTTTTTTTTTTCGATGAAATGGTTTTCCTAAAAGTGACTTTTTTAATCAAAGCTATTTTTATGTCCCCTTAAACTATAACATTGACCATTTCTCTCGCACCCATACACTTCTGAAATAGATGGTGTTTCTTTCCATCTTTCAGGTCACGTGGCTTTAACCAAATCAGTCAGGCACTGCTGTGACCAGTCTTTGCTTATAATCTTCAAGTTTCATTCGTCCGCGACCGCAAAAAAAACTGAATTTAAATAGAAAAAGAAACAACTTATTTCACTGGACTACCTATTTAGTTGTAAGTATAATAGCTTTATTCGTAGGCTTTGCAAATACGGACTAGATATTATGAATACTAAAATATTAATGAACCAGCGAACCATTAAGCATGAAAGAAGACACAATAGTACACAATCTTTCCAGGAGTTCTATCGACTTCTCGAAAGCTTTTCAGTTTAATTAATTTTATTTTCATTCCTGATTGTTAAAAAGTGAAATAAATGTGCAATATTTTAGGATAGAAGTTTTCCTTTTAAGCCACTTTTGATAACTTTTAAAGTGAAATCCAATATTTTACTTAGATCACTCGTGTGCGGGTTTAAGGGTGTCCTTTTATTTGCTTTTCAATTCACTCGTCGCTTTTTTTTATATTTTTTTCCACTTTTAAGTTAAGCGCAAAGCTAGAAAAGTCTTATGTTGTAAGTCTGCAGACATACCGCTGTGCCATTGGGGGCCTCATTATTAAGACGTGATATTATTCATTATCACCTTTCCGTCTTTATCCATTTTTTTCGTGGCTGTGTTTGATACCAGTAAATTAAATATCATATTATCTCAAATGATCAATCGTACAACAATTTCGATATAGCTCACATTATGTCATATTGAACTTATGTTGTTGTTTTTGTATAGAAAAAAATATAATTAAATGTGAGTTAAAGAACCTATGTGCTAAGATATATTTATCATTAATATATATTGAAGTACTTTTTTGTTACGATTAATTGTATAAAATAAGCCGTTCGAGATGTTTTCTTCTCACTGCAAGATTGGATTTTTAATCCCAGAAACTGTATATAAATCATTCATCTAGCGAAAATATTTTCTTTGCGATTAACTTGTTATATTTTGATTTTTTTTCAGTGGCTGTTTTAGATAATTGACGGTGTAAATAAATCTACATCAAACTACCAATGAATTCAAACTCATTTGGTTACTATTTTATTAGTACGTTTCTAATAGCAGCCCTATCTTATGGAAAAGTTACTGGACGTGATCAGAAAAATATTTAAATTTTCCGATGTCAAAGAGTAAAAATTATATGCTTTGTTAAATTTAATTATTTAATCTATGGCGATAGAAATGGTAATTGTGATGTGATTTGTACCATTTATTATAAAATAGTCGCAACTCAAGGAAATTTTAATATCTTCATTTTGTATAATAATGAATGCGTCAGCTTATTGGTTATTATTTATTAGTCGTATTTTCTAAACAGAAAAACTATTATTTTTCCAAATACCTCTAGTTATTGGTAGAAAAACTTATGAGAAATAAACTAAAATACAATGTATTCTAAAGATCATAGTTGACGCTTGAGTATGTGTTTAGTAAAAAAGAGAAAGAGCCTATAAAGAGTGACTTTTTAATTTCCTCAATGTTTCACCTTACGGTTTTCTCAATGATAGAGGTAGAATTATTAAATACATTAGTATTTCTAAGCAAAACCAACGTGTTTATATATCTTGCGGAAACAAACTTGCATGATAACTGTAAAAATCAATCAAATTAATTTATAAGCAAATGTGTTTATACAAAATTTACTGTAACCGCAACAAAAACAATTAATCTAAACTAGTACTAACTAGATAAAAATAAAACATGTTGCTTTTCACGTTCGTATTCAATATTACTTTGTTAATGACATTTCACATCTGCTTTTCATCTTATTTCTAATTATTTTTTTATATAAAGCATATATATATATATATATATACATTCATCTAGGTTCCGTACTTAAAATAGTATTGGACTATTGTTTGGATTTCTAGCCTAATGTGATGCAAAAAAAAACAACAACAAACTAATAATAGATAAGGTACCTGAAGTTCACTTCAAGCTAAGAGTATACTTATGTTTTGGTAAATCTTATATTTTTAAATTGTCTTCGATGCAAATTAACATGTTCTGTAAGGATGACGTAAAATTACTTAATTCAATTAAGCTTATAAACAAAAAAAAAGAAACCATTTTAGTAAATTTTTTAAAGAAAAACTATTAATAAACTTTAATCGACTTGTGAAGCTATTGTAACATATTAACTTGCAAATCAAACTTGGTGGAACAATTAATCGATCAGAAAATGTAACTAGTATACCATTACGCCTGTTGATCTCTTTTATAGTTGAGTTTGATGTATTTACTCGATTACTCTTAGCTGTATGTGTAATATCAATCTACGCAATCACAACTCATGTCGGAAATCTATTTTACATAAAAAGGCTTCTATAAATCAGAGTTTTGGAGCTCATTTAGCCTAAAATGTAAATTATCTTACTTCAAAAAAGTTTTTACCTTTTTCTTTTCTCTTTCGTTTGAGCCGAAAAACTAGGAAAATTATGAATGTCAAAATCGCCAGACCAGCAAATAAAACTCCCAGTAATGGTTTTAAAGGTGAACTTGGAGAATTACCTAAAAAATAGAAAACACTTGTCGTAATGATCATAACTCAGAAACAAATTTTGACTATTTCTCTAACATATTCCATGTGCTGTTTAGTCTTCTCAGCAGCAGTAACCTTTTTCCATATTTTCAAATGAATGAGAAAGAAAAAAGTATTAGTGTTTTATAGAGATGAATTTTACAGAAGACTTTCCATGATATTCTCAATATCACGTCATAAGAAGATAATTATCTTAAGGAATAAAATTATCAATTCAATAAAAGAGTTCCATGTGTTAGACTATTTTTCTTTTGGAAAATTATTAACCTTTTATAAATTACTTTATAATAAACTGTGAAAATGTAATTTTTTCATAACTGAAAATAATTTTAAATTTTCAAGAACTATAAAAGTATTAAGAAAATGCAAAACTCACATCACATTTTTTTCTGCGTTTCTAGCAACCCATATAATATATATATACCAAACAATTCCACCCCTTAAAAGATATGGGTATATATATATATATATATTAC